GCTTAAGCTCAGCTTCACTTCGGCTCCTTATCTGGTGGGGCTCGCAACCGCTCCTGACTCCGCCCAGGTGAACTCGGCTGCTCGTGCGTGCGTCAGCCGTCCCGAGCCGCCGGCTTGTGCGGCACGTGCACCTGAGCCCCGTTGGTCAGACCGTGGAGCCTAGGGGCTGCGGGTATGGACAGGCGTCTGGTGACGGGTCGGGGCGTCCTTTCTCACCCATCTCGCCAGGTCCGCGTCACAGACTCGCAATCGCAGGCCCATTTAGCTATCGGTCCCGACCGATGGGGTTAAGATCACAAAGATATGGTACGCGATGACATTCCATCTGGAACCGAAAGCAAGTCATAATCGAACGGCTTACAATATTCGGATTAACCCAGGCGGTGAAAAGGAACCAACGTAAACATGACCATTAATATCATTTCATACAGACCTACCAGGCACATCAAATGCAGATGATTGGTCAAAGCACCTCAACGGGGGCCAGCATGTATCAAACCCGAACCTAGCCTAGCAGTGCTCTGCGACTTCTGACCGTGCACACGCTTGGCCAATGATGTCGCCGCCCTCCCACGTGAACGGCAACGGGGCACCAAAAAACAGCGGCAACAGTCGGTGTCACACTGGCGACCTGGCTGTCAGCAGCAGCGCGCCCAGCACTGTGCTATACCGCTCACACAGCTATGATCTGCCTTTCCATATCATTGCAGAGGTTGTATCGTTTGCCCCGACAGCGCAGCTTCGTCTGGCCTTGCTTGTGACCGAGGAGCCCGTCCCCAGCGAAGGACGGCTGCTGTGGGAAGGCTCGGCTTCGGCCACATCAAACCGCCAGAGCATCCGACAGAAGACAATAACATGGTGGGTATCGCACAGAAGACAAAAACAGGGATTAACTTTCCACCTCAGCCGTGGACAGGACTGGGAAAGCCAGCCATAATCCCGTCACCGTTTGGGTAAACTCGACTCTTTCGTGGCCGGTTTGAATAATTCTGTCGACACAATGCGCCTGTTCGAATCTACAGGTTCTGCAGGTCCTCAGCAAAATTGGAAAGCCGCCTCTGTACCGTCGCTTTTTGAAGTGTCGCACAAGAACACCAAATATGCAAGTCGGAATACGCAATGCCAGAAAATATAGGATGCTAGAAAATTGAACATGCCAATGATCTGTTGCAAATTGCACCGTTATTTGATACTTTGTCTTGCATTTTGTCTTGACTTGGCCTTGAATGAATCATAGCTGCATCAGTTTTACATACTTACCATTATTGGTCACACTTGACAGGGACTGCGAGACAGGACGCACTTACAATTATAACGCATCATCAAGGGTTGCGTTGGAATATTTTTAAGAGAAAGTCCTCATTCATGACAGCTGTTCAAAACAGTGAGGCTGGGGAGGGACGGGAGGATTTGTGGGGTGGGGGCGGGGTTGTGTAGCCTGAACGGATAATTTTTCATGAGAACCATTGTGACGCACGCTTGCCAGAAACTGGAGATTTTGAGCCTAACCGCAGCGACATGCAGCACGAACTACTGAAAGTTGCAGGGGCTCAGTCCAGCAGGCGCGTGCCAAGGGCACAGCTGCACGGCACATCACAGCGCTCCGACAGAACTGACGCAACCTGGCTTAGGCCATTTGTGTAAGTGAACACCATTCATAACCTGGATCTACAGGTCGTTGACGAAGCCCCGCTAGTAAGATAATTTCTGGCACAGACTGACCGCATGCGCGCATTGTGCTTAGCCCATTTAGTACGTTGTACGGGACTAGAAATGAAGAAATCTCGAATATTAGTACGTTTTTTGTTCCCATTCCTCCATACATACATACGCACATACATACATACATATATATATATATATATATATATATATATATATATATATATATATATATATGAGAGGAGAGCGCGCGCAAGGGCATTGAATACTTTGCGTGTCACACGTGAATGTTGCTATCTGACAATGAGTATATGTAATGTGTAAAAGCTTATGTCTGGGTTGTGATATGCATGTAGTATGTTTGCGCTATACCGATATTGCAAAAAAACTGATGCATCGTATACAGACATGAGATCCATGATAGGATAGTCACGAAATAATTTTAATTTTACAAACGCCCGATTATATCGACTCTGTCTAAAACTGCCACTCTAGGAAATGTTCAATGAAGGATGAAACGTTGGGAATATAACTCATACCAGGCCATGCAATATGGCAACACATAATGCTTTATCATGAGGTTTGGTGCCATTTTAAACGAGCATCGAGAAGAAGCAAAACCGTCACAAACTTATTGGGAAAACATCAAAAAAGGTCGTCAATGCTGAGTTTGCTGTGATTTCTAACAAATATGCATAAAGAATGATCTGCTTTCAAAATTTATATATAACTTAGCACAAATATAATGCCACAATAGTGGGAGGCAATCCAGGTAATAACTGATACCTCTGCAGGGTATTTATAACCATCTATTGATTAGAACATTATAAATAACTGTCACCTGCTCACGAGTAAGCCCTTCCCCGATCTGTGCTTGCTCTCGCTTCATTTCAATTCATTTCAACTCCGATCCACCGGGCAGGGTTTGATTCCGACTCTGACGTCGAGCACCACAGCACAATGTTGGGCCGACTCTGATTCCGCTTCAAAGAGATGTGTAGCTCAATTCTGGAACCCATTTAGATGGAGCCAGATCGGATGAGGGCAGCTGGCGAAATGGCACGGTGTATGAGGTTCGTAGATGCTTGTATCAGACATATTTAGCTCACCCCAGCTCACAGACTTTTTGGTTGGCGAGTCCAGTTTAGACTCCCAAAAAGTTCAAAGAATGATTAATTTTACTCCTCTTATTTTACCACCTAATTACCCCAACTCAGCGAGCATGTGGCTGATTCCAGAGTAAGCCGATTCCGACTACAAACGAAATCAAACACAAGCATGGCGCGGCTTTAGAAGACGTTAGAGCCTTGGTTAGAGGCTCCATATGGGGTGGTGCGGTCAGCTTAAAATTCAGATGGTGAAAAAGAAACAATGAGGAAGTGCGCCAATAGAGTGGTATATCAGCTGCAGCGAAGTAACTCCTAGAAGAATTATCAATTTGATTATTGGCAGAGTGCCGCTGCCCACAGTCCCACATTCGTAAGTATCTGCAAGTGCTTCCCGCCCTTTCCCATGACCACAGTCGTGCTATGTCCAAGTTTCCCTGAGCCTCGCGTTCACCTGTTTTCATTTCCGCATGCATGGGGCTGGTTTTGATGATCGCCAACATGGTGTAGGTTGGTATGTACCACAAAATGGAAACCATTTACTTGTGTACAGGAAACCAGCCAAGACGCCATTTTTGCGGAGCTATCGGATGGAAATATCGCACGCGATGGCCCTCTGTTTATGCCGAATGACTCCTTTTGGAATCAAATTGGCACGTGTAGCTGTTCTTCCGACTCGAGTTTCGTGCTGAGCCCGTATGTCGGCCGCCTCAGAGGCGGGCTCCACCCTGTGGCCTTCCAACAGGCTCAAGGTCGTTTGCATCGCGATGGTCCCCCCCCCCCCCCCCGCTTCCCCCTCCCTGGCCGGCGTAGCGCTGAAGTGCGGTCTCACCGGCCGGCGTAGCTCTCAAGTGCGGTCTCACCGGCCGGCGTAGCGTAGCTCTCAAGTGCGGTCTTATCGGCCGGTGAGGCTTTGAAGCGCGATTTCACCCGCCGGTGTAGCTCTGGAGTGTGATCTCACCCGCCGGTGTAGCTCTGGAGTGTGATCTCACCCGCCGGTGTAGCTCTGGAGTGTGATCTCACCCGCCGGTGTAGCTCTGGAGTGTGATCTCACCCGCCGGTGTAGCTCTGGAGTGTGATCTCACCCGCCGGTGTAGCTCTGGAGTGTGATCTCACCCGCCGGTGTAGCTCTGGAGTGTGATCTCACCCGCCGGTGTAGCTCTGAAGTGTGATCTCACCCGCCGGCGTAGCTCTGAAGTGTGATCTCACCGGCCAGTGAAGCTCTGAAGTGTGGTCTCACCGACCGACGTAACCCTGAAGTGCCGTGGGCTACGGCGCGAACGACGAGTCAGGGGCCGGATAACAGCAGGATCATTGGCCAGTGTTCAGTGAGATCATTGGCCAGTGGTGGACGTGCTCAGCGCCGCTCGCACATGCACTGAGAGCGTGTTAGCAGGGATAGGCAGCGCCCCACGTGAAGGGTGCGAAACCGTGCAAAATTCGCTTCTCGTCTGACGTGGTTAGAACTCGTTGCAATGTACCCGGGGAATCCAGTTCATTCCAAACGAGCCTATTTGTTTGAAAATCTCCAACAACAAGGGCCAAGTGCAAAATGGTCTCAGACTGTGCATGATTCAGTTCGAGGTTAACAAGTTGTTCGAAGTCTTTGAGTTATCGCTTATCAACACCACCAATGATTTACGGATATCTCCCTAACATGGTCAGTAGCTCAGGTGCCGCAAGTTATGTTCCCACGTTGATCAGTAAAGCAAAACCTCAAAAATATTATCATATTGTTTAGTCAAAAAGGTGCCGTCACAAATACCGGGTACAGAAAACAATCACCGTGGCCAGCTCGCTGACGTTTGTTCAAATAGCAACAAAAGCCTGCTGAATGAATGATCAGGCTGTGACTTAAACTATAAACGCTACTCAAGGTCAGGGGCTGCAGCGGCGTCTTCCTCACAAAGTACAAGCTTGCCGTTTGGAACCTGACCGGGAAGATGGCGTGGCCCCTCCTTGGCCTGCGCCGGCTGGTGTAGCCTGCAGCGGCCAGCGGAAGAGCTCAGCCTCTGGGCCTGATTGGGCTGCGTCGACGCGGCGAGGCCCCGCCGGCGGTCTGTGGGCCGGACCCCGAGCCCCGGCGGCCCTCCGTGGCGCCAAGCGACGCTCCTTCAGCTGGCCGGTCCGCGTGCACCCCGGGTGCCGCCGTCTGCTGCCCATGCTGAGGCAGCCGTTGCTGCCCCGCCGCCGTCGCTGCCTCAGCAGCGCCGCCGCAGCCGCGCTGCCGCCTCAGCAGAACGCCGGCTGAAGTAGCGGCGCCGTTCGCCGGCTGCCCGCAAGGCGCGGCGACGGACAGACCGGCCAGCGTCGCTGGCGCCACCGACCGACGCCCGCACCGCCTGGGCTCACCCTGGCGTTTCGCCTACGAGCGCAAGTGGCAACGCCCACCGCGCCGCCGCCCCCGCACCCGCCTGACGGGCGAGGGACAGCACGGAAGCAGGGGATGGCGGGTGGGGCGAGCACCTCGAGTCCGGCGAGTCCGGCAGGAGCAAGACGAAGCACGCCTGAGAGCCGACCTTGGCCGTGGAGAGTTTGGTAGGACCACGGCAGACACCGACACCGCATCTTGGCTGTCACCGCGTGGCGGGGGCGGGACGGGATTGTGATAGTGATGTGAGCTGGACTGGGATGGAATGAATATGGCAGCATCAGCTGCTTGGTGTTAATTGCGCCCGCAGTGTACCATGAACCAGGAAAAGCAATGACCGATAGCGCGTGTCAACCGACACACGGCACAGTCACATGCGTGTGAGAACGCCAACGGAAGCAAGGCAGGCGTTCGATGGCGGCCGGCGCGGGCGCATGCCATAACGCACCTGGATCCTCGCCTGAATGAATGATCAGGCTGGATGATACCGTGCCCTAGCCGATGGCGCCGGCCGTCAGTGCTATTTTGTGCCGCTGGTGTGCTTCAGCGGCCCAGGGTCGGCGAGCCCGGCTTCCGCGCGGTACCGGCTGGACGCCGCCTCCACAGCACGCCCCAGCGTGGCCTACGCTGAGGTCAGGCACGAGGCGGAAACACCGCAATGGCGGCCACTTAGCGGATGGAGCCCTTCTCTGGCAGGTACGTGCTTCGACCACGTCTGTGTTATTCGACACACACACACACACACACACACACACACACGCATATATATATATATATATATATATATATATATATATATATATATATATATATTTGTACGTGCGTGCCTAAGTGCGTGCGTGTGTGGGTGGGTGTGGGTGGGTGGGTGGGTGGGTGGGTGTGCGTGGCGTTGCAGTTGCCTCTCGGAGATGATTAATTATATGCATGTCGATCTGCTTCAGTTTGTGGCGAAGATGAACCGTACCTGTTCACGCAAATCACCTACCAGCCAGCATGCTAATGGTAGCACGGAAACCATGTCCGATCGGCGCACTCTTTAGGTCCGGCTAATTGCCTTGATGGCCTCGGTCGCGTGCGCGGAAAAACAAGGAGCAGCAGCCTTCGGTTAACGTGCTCCACATTTCACAAGGCTCAAGAACGATGAGTGACCTATAAAAATCGTCTTCTGTCCAGCCGAACGCGGCACCCTTATGCGCGCACCACCCGCCGCCACCAAAGAGCTTGAAAATCCCAGAAATGCTTCCGATGGCAGCCACGTGATCGGGGGGTCTCACCGAACAACCGAGATGTGCAGAACTACCCCAGGTTGTGCGCGCTGCAGAGCATCAGGCCCGGGCTGGTGCCCTGCCAGCCTGGCCCCATGTGCTGGGATACCGGCCGGGTTGGCCTCTAGGGACGCCGGCCCGGCCCAGCTCTGACCGGCCTTCGACGCCGGTCAGAGCCGTGGCAGCCGCACGGCGGCGCCGCCAATTACTGTTGCGTGCGAACCGGAAGTCGGCGGCTTCTTACCTTGGCGTTTTCCTGGTCGGCGAGCGGCGCCGGAGACGGACCTCGGCCCCGAGAAGACCGCAGTAGCAGACAGGGCGCTGACTTGCTAGGCCTCGGCGGCTTGGGCGGCGCGCTCTTCCGTGACGCCTCGCTCGAGGGATGGGCTGCCTTTTTCGGTACTGATATCACTGTCTTTTCCGCTAAGATCGGGCAATCCGGCAGTGGTGCAATAGCTTCTTCTCCTGGCGCTAAGTGATGCAATGCTGAGCTTACAAGCCTTTCAGCTTGGCGGCTTGGGGTAAGAGCCAGCATGTCCCCATCTGGCGGCGAACGGTCTGGTCCTGACGTCGCAGGCTCCCCGACAGAGCCTGACTCGGACCCGTCCGGTGCCGTCGCTCGCTGCGCCTCAGTCGGCGCCGGGCCCCCGGACGCCGGGGTGGCCCCTGCGTGCCCGGCCTGGCCGCTGTCGGGCGGCGGCCGTGACCGAGCGCCCTGGGAGAGCAGGCCGCCGCCGGAAGCTGGAGCGGCTTCCGGCTCCGGCCGCTGGCGCAGCGGCCGCGCCGACGACAAGCCGGGCGAAGAGCCCAGGTCGCGCAGCTGGGAGCGCGTCAGCACGCCCCGCCACAGCAGCAGCCGCGCGCTCAGCCGCTGGGAGCGCAGCCTGCCCGGCGAGCGAGCCGTCGTCTTGAGGTCGGCCGCGCGCCGCGCGACCAGCGCACGGCTGCGCACTGGGCGCCTGCCCGGTTCGGCCCGGCTGAACCGCATCGCCAGTCAAGAGGGGCCCGAGTCGAGCGGCGAGCCCTCGCCAGGGAAAGTCCTTTGAGGGCGGGGCTTCCTGCGACGACTCTTGCTGTGCCTCACCTCTACCGAGACGGCTGTGATGCACCGGTAGAGCGCCGGGAGCGCAGCGGTCACTCGCTGGCGCGTCTCGCCCCGGCCGACAGAGTCGCACTGTCCACCCTCCTCGTTCCGACGCGCGGCACGCCCAGGATCGCTGGACCGCGCCGACTATCGATTGGTCTGGTCACAGATTAGCTGTACAAACGGCCGCCGTTGCGTCGGCCCGCTGCAGCTGCCGGTGTGCACAGCGCAGTCCACGTGCCGCAGTGGTGGCCGAGGCGGGCGTGTCCTCCGTTTAGCGGCGGAGCCTGCGACCGCGCCGGCGCGTGCCACGCGTCCAACTGCCGCCACCCAAAGCCGGTGGCGTATGGCTTCAACGCTCCCATTCATCTCCCTTTGACTGCCCAATGGAGGCCCGACAACACCCGGGCAGGCAGCGGGCTTTGTGTCCCGTCCCCGTCCCCGACCCCTGCTACGCGAACGCCCGGCGACGCGGAAGCCTGGGAACGCGTGCCACGGGCGCCTCCGCGATCTCCCTTATGCTGGGCGGTGTGTGCTCTCAGAGGTCCAATCAGAGCACGAGAGCTTGCGACGACCGGGCTGTGATGTAAAGTGGGGGTCGTTCACCAGCTATTAGACGCCGAGTTTATTGGTGCTCGTTTGCTGGCTCGTGAATCCGTGCCGTTTGAGTTCGCCCGCCACCGGGCGCCCTGTTGACACAGCTGCCGCGGCGGTTGTTGCCATGGTAACCGCCCGACGCGACGCGTGGATATGCTGAGCGATGACTGAGTGGTTTGGCGAAACGAGGGGCGTACGAAACGGATCTAGGCCCCAGCGTGTTTAAGCCATTTAGAGATTTGGCGATTGCCGCAGACTCCAGACACAGAAACCCATAATACTTTTTACCAAATGGTCGTCATGCCAGCAGTCAAGCGGTTCGCATCTCGCCGACGTGGCACACCGCCCGCCAAGAGTGATAATGATGGAGTGGCAACGTGAGTGAATGCGCACTGATAGTGATCGCTGATCATTTTTGGTTTCCTCCGTCGATAATTCGGCTCCATTCCGGTATGGCGAACTGCCAACTGGTTGCGAACTGAATCTGTCAGCCTAATTGTAATTCAAGGTGTCCTGATTGCGGCATGGCTTGCAATAGCACACACAAAACAACAAGTTCTTTCTGAGACAATGCTGTGTTTTCCGTAACTGAGCTACGCAGCGCTGCTTGGCGTTCATTAGTGGAACACTGCGTTGCCAACTCGGCGGTTTCGAATGCGACCTGCGCGGTGCATGGCGAGGCCAGAAGGTACCTACGCCACTTCGATAAGCTTCCAATCTATTTAATCTAGGGTTCTCTAAAACTCAGATGTCTCGCGTTGCCCCATTCATCTAATGATGCCTGGCACCTCGTCAGCGGTGTGGACAGAGGTCCCCACACGTCACATTCCATACGGCCCCGTAAAACGAAGGGGTAACGGTAGCATTTTTGGCCAAACACGTGGAACCCGTCCCCGTAGTTCTGCCCCGGATAACATAAGCCGGGTAAAGTAAGGTATAACATTCTCGCCGGGCACCATAAGCCGGCTTACAGAAATTTTAAGTCAACATCTACATCCGGACTCAACTCAGGACCAGACGACCTGGCACGGGGCGCCCGTGTCGTGGCGATGAACTCATAAAACCTTCCGCAGTCATATCGGGCAAGGAGCCCGGAAGTACAATTATTCTATGAGCTGAACAAATGTTTTTAGGTGGTGTGTTTAGGGTCGTGCAACAAGCTCCCGTTGGCAAGCTCTCTAACGCCAGTTAGCCATACAAAGCATTCAAAAGCAGTACAAACAACACGGGAGGAACGAGGCCGCCAGAGGAGGGAATGTCCTCGGCAGCAAGAGAACACAAGGGCGGCGCGGGAGTAGGGAAACAAAATGATACGTTTGGGTTAACATAGCCAATGCAATTAATATAAGTAGTGTTACTAATGTCACTTCATGATCAGAGTCTGGACAGCAGCCTGCACTCTGTCTGTTCCCTCCAGTCACCTCGTTCGATAGGTTTAACCGTCAGGCACTGCTGAAGCCAACCGAAAACACGGCAACTTCAGGCAAACGCTACATTGCTTTTAAGAACGAGATGTTTCCACAAGCTGTAAGGCATGGATTTCTTATTTTCAAATGCATCTTCAAACTCTACAAGAATCTGGCATTGACATGTGACATTGATCTAACAATCCCCCTCATCCCACAGCCCTAAAATGGACATGACCAGCCGAAAGGGCCCTAATCCAAACAACCCAAACCTTTCCATAAACGCTGCACACCTAACTCGAGTGCCCACCACCAGCCTGGCCGTACATCAAAGGGCGGAGTGCGGTGGAAATGCGGTGGCGCGGAGTTGAGTAGGCGGAGTGGAGTTAGTCACGAAGCTGCCCGTGCGCCGATCTTGCAAATGGAGAAACATGCTCACAGTCCGGGCCGCCCGGGTAAACCTCGGGCATTTCCTCCCCCCCCCCCCCCACGCCGGTTAGGTAAACACGCGCGGCTATCCGTGACGAACCGTTCCCAATGCCACCCGTAACCTTATCTTCCTCCCCAATAACGAATCACCGTTCATTGTCGCATCCGCGCCACGCAAGGCGTTGGCCGTCGGTTTAAACGCCGGCGCCAGCTGGCTGTCGCATTCCTGAGGGCGCGCACGTGCGACCTGCGCACCTGGCCCGGGCCTGCTGAGGCGAACCGGTAACCGCCACTCGCACGGCCGGGTCCAATCCGCGGCCGCGGGACGCCGCCGGCGAGCCTATTCAGTTTCAAATGGCCTGCTCAGAGGACGCGGCGGCGGACGCCCGAGATCTGGGAACTAGGCTCCGGGATCTACAGAGGGAGACCTGGAAACCAGGCTCAGGGATCAGGAGATGGGGATCTGGGAACCAGGCTCTGGGATCTACAGAGGGAGACCTGGAAACCAGGCTCAGGGATCAGGAGATGGGGATCTGGGAACCAGGATCTGGGATCTAGGAAACAGGCAATTGGATATGGGGACGGCGATCTGGAATCAGGTCCCCGACTATGAGGATCCAGGCTCCTTGATCTGGGGATAAATATCTGGGAGCCCATATCAGGGATCTGGGGATCAGGGAACCAGGCATCGGAATCTGGGAATTTGTGGAATGGGCCACGGTCATCCCGAGACGGGTGCTGGGAATCTGTGTACCTGTCTTTGGGGATCGTGAGCCGAATTCTAAGGATCGGGGGGGGGGGGGGGGGCGGAAACCCGGGGATCTAGGACAGGGCGCCAGAGATCTGGAACCTGCGTCCGGGATCTGCGGACCGAATTCCGAGATCTGCAGACGGGCTCTAGGGATTTGGGGACCTGTTTTGGGGATCTGTCTAACGGGCTTGTGGATCTGTATATGCGCCCTGTGGATCTGGGGCCTGCCTCTGGAGATCTATTGAACAGGTTCCTGGAATGTAGGGGCGGACTCTGTGTATCTCAGTACCTGGCTCCAGGCTTTGTGGAACGGGCTTCGAGGATCTGGAGATGGCTTTTAGGGGTCTGGGGACCTGGTTCCTGATACCTGTGGAGAGAGCCCTGAGGATCAGGGGACGGGGACTCGAAAATCTGGGGCAGTGGCCATGGATCTCAAGCTGGTGCTCGGGGGATCCGGAACTGAGCCTGGAGGTCTAGTTGGTGGAGGTCTGGGGTCCCGGAGGTCGGGGCGACGGGAGACGTAAGTGCGGGCTCGAAGACGGTGATCCGGCGATCTCGGGCAGCGCGTTGGGGCCTCGGGGACATGGGAACGAGCTCCGAGGGTTCTTCCAACGAGACCTCAAGGTATCTGAAGTAGATGCTCCATGAGTCTGAGAACAGAGGTCCAGGGCTTTGGCGACGGTGTTCCGGGATCAGGGATGGTGCCTCGGGGATCTGGGACAGAGCTTTGGAGATCTGCAAGGAGGCTCGCAGTCGGGGGATGAGGCTTTGGGGATCTGACACTGGGCACCGGGTGATCTGGAACCAGTAACCACTCGTGGAACCAGTAACCACTCGTGCCATACAAACTGAACTCTGGTTCTGGGGACGGGACTTTGAAGAATCTGTGGAAGAGGCTCTAAGGATAATGCGTGCGGGGCTTTAAAGGATCTGTGGGCGGGGTTTGGAGGGTTCCGCGGGCTTGGCTTTTAACACATGCCCCGGTGGCCGATTGAACTACCCTTCACTCGGCTGGGATTTCAATGTGACCTCTGTGACCTCGTAAACTAAGAAAGCTAGACATGCAATGCACAGAGTGGGTAGACCTGGACGTAAACTAGCTGGTGTCCATGTTTGAGGTCTCTAGATTATGACCTTGGGGTCAAATAAGGTCAAAAACGCCGTGAACCTATATGCCTTTTCTAAGCCAAAGGTCATTGGCGTCCAATTAAGTTCATTGACTTTGGTTGAATTTAATTGGGCTAAGGTGACCAAATACCTACGAAGTGCACTATTTTGTCATTCGGACAAGCGTTAGGGGTTAAACTAGGCGGTATGTTCCTAAAACAGGATGTTAATCCGGGTCATTTTAGGTCAGAGAGCTACTCTGGCCTTTAACAAAATCATGGGACATGTCTGCCGCGGTCCTGGTTATTGATAAATTCGAAGTGAACACCAGAAACTACCCCATAAACCAAGCTCTCCAGTAAAAACGCAGTGTAGTTTTGACCTCGGCGTGACCTTCATACCTGACCTTAGGTTAATGGAATTAGCTGAACTCTAAATTAAATGAATTTATTGCCTAATAAACTATCTCAGAACTGTATGGCTTCCTCTCACACTTTGTTGAACACTCCT